AAAAAGAAAAGAAGAAGTTTTCCAAGTCTGCCTCCAGACGGCAGGTGCAGCACAGAACCTATACACACCGGCCTTGCAGCCCGTCGTTTGTACATATGGACTTACCATGTCAATATGTATTATGGAATTATTTTCATTTACAGCAGTGTTGAGACTAGAACTTTTGCACCTATACCCATTAGACAAGCTGGAAAACCGTTAGGATATCGGTTTCTCCACGTACCGATAAAATGAAGCCTTGAACTCTGAAAGTGGTAAAAGATGATTAGGACATTATAAATAAACCCCAAAACATTTACACACCATGATCTTCGGTACTGTTTGAACCAAAGAACAAAAACAGCGGTGAACTATATAACCAAGATTTTTTGGAGTTCTTACCTTAAAATAATTTGCCACAAAATTGGGGTCCACAAGAGTTGAATGGCCCTGGTTAGGAGCTAACTTGGTCCTGGAGCTTGAAGGATTAGTAGAATTATGAATACTGAGGCTACTACTGGAAAGTGAAACAGAAGCCTGAAATGTGCTAGACTTGTGCTTCAAATCAGAATTCTTCTCATCTAAATCTGGAGAATCATTCAGTTCGACCCCTTTTACTTCATAGGAACTTTCTACGCTGCAAGCTGGCTCTTCAGATATCGGTTTGTTAATGTTCAACTGTGAGTGGTCATCCAGTTCTTCACGGAACCTGTCTGTTTGCTCTAAAGATGCATTATCTTCAGGGAAACTGGAATCCACCCTACTCGGTGATTGATTATCATTTTCAAATATTAGTTGACCATCAACAAGAAATTCTGCACTCTCAGATACTCCATCTTTTTTTGGAGTAAAGAAGGTAGATAGTTTTGATTGGTTATCTTTTTCAGTTCCAAGTTGATCAAGCTGATAGGGAATCCCTGGCAAAACAAAACACCAAAGTGTCATAAGAGGGGGCATAAATTTTTCGTCAACCTATAAACAGTGAAATATGACGCTGCAAATCAATTGACCTATCGAAAGGAAAAATAAATGAAACCTTGATATATAGAGCCATAAAGAATATTTTATACATAACATATCTCTAGGATTAAGGACGGGCGTAGGGACAAGGAATTGTTGCATATGTGAAAAAATTTCAATCACGTTACGTCATTTTTCAGAAACTAGAAAGAAAGAAACAAGCAAACGAAAAATGAGATGTACTCTTACTATGATATATCATGCTGCAGTTTTGTTGTTTTACAGAGTGAACTGCAGCAGTTCAGGATACCACATTTTAAGTTGATTTAGAAGAACAAAAACTCAATTCCATGTAATTACATGAACCCAGAGAACTAACAATTACGAAATACCTCTTCAAATGAACACTTACAACTAAGAAGTTTATTAGCAACAACTGAATCAAGCAGCCATGCGGGTTTAACTACTGGAAGTCCACCACTGAAAGCCCTATATCAATTACAAATAATCTTCAGTAAACAAAAAGCACACTAACAGAGCAGTTTGGCAAGAGCTATTTTCAGAGGGTAAGAATGAACCTCAAATTCTTGATTTTACTGTCAGGGAGATTACTGCATATTATATGTGTAACACGATGCCTTGAAAAATAATTCTCAAAACGTCCTCCATACTTCAACATGTATCCTCGAAGCTCCTAGAAGAAGAACATGTATAAATTAACTGAATGGGTCGTATTATGAAAACCCAACCAAGGAGAAAAATTTGAAAGGAGTTACTATCCTAAGATTTTTCAGATATCATGCATCTAACAGTTCTACGTTCCGTAAACGACAATCAAGTTTACTGAAAAGAGAATGCCATAAAGCAACGGAGTTCAAAATAAACCTGATTTGAAGGAACAGTATATCCATCAACAAAAATCGAAACCCCGCGAAATATGGACTTCCCAGAGGTGGATGCACTATGAGAAGAACTCGAAGCAGCAGCGTCAAACTGTTCGTGTAGTTTCTGATTCTTTACAGCCATGTAACTAAACAAGTACTCCAAAAACCATTGAAAAAAAAAAAGGGCATCAGATAATAATTTAATTCCATATCCAAAATCATCAACACGAGGCAAAAACGTACAACTGCGTCCGTTACTGACGTCAAAAATTATCAATATGTTCACACTCCAAGTAGTAATTCAGAGATTTACATCCTCAATTAACATCTACATATTCGAGGAAATAAAAAAATTACATCAACAAATTGTGAAATGAGATGATCACAAACCTGCCGAAATCAGCGAAGGGCGAATTGCGGGAGGCGGAATTAGAAGAAGCGCGGGAATTAGCACCCCAAGCCATGCCCAGGGTTTTCTGAGCGGTCTTCCTCTTCTTGCTCGAGCTTTTGCCATCACCGCTGTTGTTACCAGAAGAAGAAGGGTTTGAGGACATCGATTTGAAACTCCTTTTCGATTTCGAATCCGAATTAGCACTCATTTTCGTACAGTGAATACTGGAATTCCTGAACAAATTAACTGAAAATTAAAGTTAAATTAAAATCAGAGAAACTTGCGGAGGAATTTGAATGAAGCGGTAGAGTTGGAGCTGACCAATTATGTAAGCGCGCATACGAGATTTGTCTCCGGTTCTCTTTCCTCCGGTTCTAATAAGACCCGGCAATTTTGAAACTATAGTCGCTGTTTTGGATTATTGTAACCGCCATTTTAAGCCGGGATATCAGAATTTGGGAGAAACGTATAAATATTAAAAATATAGAGATATATTATATCATATCTAAGTTTTTATTTATATATATAAAAAACTTTTTATAGTTTCATGCAAACATATTCAAAATAAATTTACCATCAACTGTGAATTTGCAATTGATCACTAAATTATGAAAATAATTAAGGAAGCAACAAAAATATTTGAAAATTTGCTATTCAAACATGCTTCTAACTCTTTAAAAACTGCAAAATGACTCATAAGATGTCCGGCAGTTGTCTTCGAGTTTCCGACATGAAATATTTTCAAAACACGAGAATATTAAGAAGTTGAAATTTTCGTGCTGCATAGATGACAATTCTAGGTTAGTTGTGAAACTAGGTTAGTAAGTAATGTCAATGTTGTGAAATTTGACTAATTCTCAACAAAATTGAGTTAGAAGAATTGTAAGCAAAATTAAAGAGATTGCACACACACAATAGGTGTACATGGTTCGAATTAGAAGAATCTTATATTCACGGAGCAATGGTAACGACCTAACGGGATTTATTTAAGGAACAAAGTAACGGATCTTACGACACACAATACACAATATTAAAAGTTCTCAAGTTTACATTAATTTTACATTTGGTCCCCTGTGTTCATAAAAAACGCATTTGACCTCTCATGTTTCAATAATTTCACATTTTTTTGTCATTTCCGTCAATTTTCCCTAAGTTCGTTAGTTACGGTAGTGATGGACACACGTTAGGTTTAACAGAAAATTGACAAAATGACTTATAGTGTTGAATTTTTTAAACTTGAGGGACCAGATGTGTTTTTTCTTTTGTAAACATGGGGATCAAATATGAAATCGGTAAAACCTTGAGGGCTGAAAACTGTATTTTTAAACTTTGCCAAAATGCCAAAAAAGTCCCTGACAAATGTACATAATTCAGTACCACCCACCATCTCCTCCCCTTGGTATTTCAACACACAAAAAATGGGGGCCAAAACCTCCTACTAAACATCTACTATTTACCACAATTTTTTTTTTCTTCCTTTTTTGACCTTACAATCCCCGCAAAATTGTTCGAAACTTGGGGGAAAAAGAAAATCGAGCGATCAACTTGAGGAAACACTGTCGATCATAGCAGCCGATGACCACATATCAGCACCGTTGGATTCGGCCACGTGTAGGGTCAGATCGACTGGTACGAGGCACAATCCCCTGCTTCTC